AGAGATATGGAAGATGCCATTGCTGGCCTCCCCCTTTGACAATTTAAGTTTGCTTAGTTTTTCCAGCACATCCCACAGATGTTTGATTGGATTGAGATCTGGAGAATTTGAAGGCCTAGTCAACACCTCAAACTCCTTTTTGTGTTCCTCAAACCATTTGTGAATAATTTTTGCAGTGTGGCAGGGCAGGCACATTATTCTGCTTGAAAGAGGCCACTGCCATCAGAGAATACCATTTCCATGAAGGGGTGTACTTGGGCACCAAAAGTGTTCAAATTAGTGGTACCTGTCAAAGTAACAGCTAAGGTCCCAAGGTTTCCCAGATAAAATTTCTCAAAGCATTCACTGCCTCCGCTGGCTTGCATTCTTTCCATAGTGCATCCAGGTGCCATCTGTTACCAGGTAAGCAACACACACACATGCAGCCATCCTCACGATGTAAAAAAAATGATTAATCAGACCAGGCCACCTTCTTTCAGTGCTCTGTGGTACAGTTCTGATGCTCACTTGCCCATTGTAGGCACTGTTGGTGGTGGACATGGGGCAGCATGGGCACCCTGGCCGTTTTCCTAATATGCAACAAACTGCAATGCACTGTGTGTTCAGACACCTTTCTATTGAAACCAGCATTAACTTTTTCAGTAACTGCAGTAGCTCTTTAACCCCTTCGTGACGGGAGACGTACACTGTACGTCCAGCCACAAAGGGACCAAATGACTTGTCACGTACACTGTACGTGACGAGTTATTTGCTGCTTTAGAGGGCTGTTAATCGCTGAGAATCAGCTTTTAACATTCATTAATGGATGCCCTTACTACAGAGGCATTCATTAATGAAAGGGTTAACCTTTTTCAGACACCCGATACCTTAATATCGGGTGTCTGAGAGTCAAAGCAAAGCGGACACAGATGCCGGCTTTTGCCGGCATTCTGACAGCTCGTATAGATCGAGAGATATCTCTCTCAAGCTATACTGGCTTTTTTTTTTTCTTTCATGAATAGATACAAAATGTGTCTATTCCTACAATGTATCTATTCCTGGAAGAAGAATGTTTGTTTGCTGATCGTTGTTGCAACAATCAGAAAACATTTAGTAACAGCTGAATCCTGAACTGCTGCAGGATCAGTGTCACTAACTTATTATCGGCTGTTCTGAAGTTTGAAGCAGCCTGATAATAACCAAAAATTTATTAATTTATCATGCAGTAACAGTGAGATTAATTCACAAAATCTGCTTGATATAATTAAATAAATAAAATAACATTTTTAAGTTAAAAAAAAAGTGAAAAGTGTAAAAAAAAAAAAAAATTGTGAAAAGTGTAAAAAAAATAAAAAAATGTGTAAAAAATAAAATAAAATAAGGGACAAATAAATGAATGTATTTATTGCATTTTTTTTAGCTGTGCTGGTTTTGTAAAAAAAATACTACAAATCAAAACTGGGAAAAAAGTGTTTTTTTTAAACGGTTTTTTCCTCTTTTTTTATATTTTATTTGTCCTAAGTGAGGCGTTAGACGCACATATGTGATATAAATATGTAGCCCTATCTGTCCTCTAAAAAACAATATATAATATGTGTGGGTGCACTTTGTAAGAAAGTATATTACTGACGTGGAAGAATCACTCAGCAAAAATGTCAAAAGTGTGTCAGTCATTTACGAACAGAAACTAAAAACAAGCTCAGTCATGAAGGGGTTAATGGCTCAGACTACATGCTCCAGCCTATGTTCTCCGTGTGCCTTGGCTGCCCATGACCCTGTCGCCAGTTGATTGGTTTTCCTTACTTGGACCACTTTTGGTAGGTCTTGAAATTACTTGCACAGTTGTCGTGTGTGTGGCCAACATGTGAAGAATTGGTGGCATTGAACAGCACTAAAAGCAGGTGACCAGCATCAGTGACAATGGCAACAGCCATTCTACTGCAATGTTTTTACATTTTTAAATATGTTTTTTATGAGGATTGAAAATATTGTCAGACTAAGCAGCAAGTATAAAAAATAACTTGACCTGTATTTGCATATGGCTTGACACTATAACAGCTGCTGACTAGAGCATAGCAAGATAAATGTAAACATCATGAAATGAAACAAAATTATAACAGTCTTTTAGAATGTAAAAAAAAAATATTAAGAGAATGATTAATGATTCATGCAAAACATGCAAATGGTAAAAATGCTCCTTAATCAAAGCTAATTAACACCTTTAACCTTGAATTATTGCTAAGTAGTGGGGGGTGATATTAAAATAAAACTAGAGTAGTACATGGCTAAAACAGTTCCAAAGGCAGATGGATCACTTTAACTTCCATTTGTAAGCTATAGTTATAGTTGAATTTAGGTTGTAACGCATAGGCTCTGACTGGCTGCCTCTAGCTGACCAGCCAAGAAGATCCTTTGGTTAAAACAGAACCCACTTTTTACCAATTGGGGGGGGTGGCAAGCACGGACATGAGAGTATGGGACAACATTAAAGTAAACAGGAGCACACCAAACATCAACAATTTAGCTTATGTGCAAACTTCCAAAGGTTTGCAGATCTCCGCATCATGTAAACATGGAATTACTCAAGGCAAATGTGAACTGGCTTGCTCATCATTCTTCAAAAGAAAATTTATTAGGGACCCTAACCTGACTGAACCAATACATTTATATCTACATCTGACCGAACATTTACATGTTAAAGGAAGTTATGAGCTATTATAAGTATTAAAATGCCCACCCTGACAATCTTGGTTAATAATAATGATACGGTAATGAACAGTATAGACAAGCATTGGATGCATCATGTGACTGTGACAAAGACACGCAGGGCTGGTTTATCAAAGGGAAAACACTAGCGATTGTACTAAACTCTATTTCCCAATAGATTGGTTGGTAGCACCTTCAGGTAACTCAGACATTAGCTTGTTTCCCTACCTGGCTGACTTGAAGAGATTCCTATCAACAACTAAATCAGGAGCCTTTCATCTAACTTCTAAGGGAGTCTTAAGATTATAACTTAAAGCGGAACTAAACCCTGCAGTTAAGCTGTTTTCCTAAAGAAAACTGAAGTTGGAAATGTTATTGGTGTTAAATCCTTAATCAAAGATACCAATGTTGTTTTCTGCAGTCTTTCCATTAACATTCTGCCTACTTGTGCATCCACAATCTACATTTAAGGCATGTATCTAGTGATAACTGTCACAGCTGTCAGTGTGCTTATTTCAGCTTCCAACCAAACTTTTAAGCCTTAAAATGGCTTGTGTCATAGCTGACCACATGTGCAGCACCATGGCAACTGCAATACAAATAGAGAATACCCGGAAAAAAGGACAACAGGAGATCTTGCACGTGTATTTTGTCATACGCAAAACATAAAATCCTTATGCCATGCTAAATTATTAATTTGTTAGTTAAACTGCAAAATGATAGATGACTTCACAGACAGTTTTAGAGGAGCTTAGGATAAAAGAAGTCTATTCTACAAGACATCGACAGTATACAGCACAATCCAATCACCTACAGGAATCTGTATAATACATGTTTGGTTTAAAAGCCAAATGGTTGTTTCTGGCTACATCCATGTTTAAATTGATATTAAACCCTTGTGTTTTGTTTTTTTTTCACAGGAGATCCCCTGCCCCATTTAATTAATTTTTGCAGTTCTCATACCGTAGCCCATCCTTTCCTGTTTCCAGGTACCTCCTTTACCTAGCTGGTTTTAAAGGAATCACCCGTGCATACATGCTCCCGGCTGTCACCTGAGCCGAGCTGTGTGCGTTCAGTGAAAGACACAGTGCTCAACAAGCCATGCCCCTGCTCTCGCCTCCTCCTCACGGCAATCTGGCAGGCAGCTGCAGCAGCCTATCATTCCCTTATTCTCAGTGCCCTCAGAATCCCTCATCTACAACCCAGAATTTCGAGGAAGCAGAGCAGATCATCTTGGTGGTGAACATGGACCATAAATAAGTGTTTGGAGATGGGAGGGCATGGACAGTTACTTGAGTGTTTATACCTTAATGCAGAGAATGCATTAAGGTAAAAAAAACTCATAGCCTTTAGTACTACTTTAACCATGGAGCAAGGCTGGGGAGATATTTTGTATTATTAAGGGGTCTATTCACTAAAAGGTGAAGAGTTTGGAGAAGGCAGGAGGAGTGAACAATCTAGGCCAAAATAGCTGATTTGGAAAAATTATCCAATTCAGCTCACTTTCCAGTTCAGCTATGTTGGCCTAGATTGTTCACTTCTCCTGTCTTCTCCAAACTCTTCACCCTTTTGTGAATAAACCTGTAAATAATTACAAAATAAACTTGGAGTTTACATAAAACTATGGTTTCTCTTGTTGTTCCCATATGACAGGTAACACGTTTTGCAGATATGAAGAATTTTAAGTCTAGGTGATTGTTTGTTTGTTTTTCATGCTGACACAGTCTAATCTTTTACTTTTGTTTATAATTTAGAATGTGCTGATCTTATGGGTATAAACCTATTTTAGTGTTGCTAGTAATAGTTAGTCACATTCTGCTGGAATTGTTCTGTAATCTTCCAAATTAACTGAAAAAAAGTGTCTTGGAGAAGCCACAAAACATCTTCAACATTACAAAACAAGTCCAGTTGAATGTGATTAACTACTACTAGCTGTACCATGACCTGAATAAACAAGAACCTTCACAGACATATTTAAGTTTGTTTTGTTTTTCTCAATAACGGTTTCATGAACATTTCTGTGACTGTTGTGTGCCATACAGAAATCATAGTTGTTATTGCCTATCATCTATATGTTCTCTGCTTTCAGAAGATATTTGGCTTCATTTGTCTTTAACATATTATCATGTGTGTTAGGTGCATATTGGTTGTGCATTTCAAGAACAGGAAAATTGACTCAGCCATGTAGAGTTCAAAAATAGTACGAGTCTGGTACAAGGCACACATTACTCTTCCTGCACACATAAAATAAGTTACCACTTCTGTGAATGCTAAACATTTCTATTTGTATATCCTGGATTCACATTATAACTTACCTTTGTTTTTGGTTCAAGAATTTTTACTCCGTATATAGATATTTGAAGTTCCACCTTTGGAGTTTTTTGACCTTCCGACTTTTTAATATGTCTTGCAAACTGAAACAGAAAATAATTCATTATAACTGTCCAGGTAGTTAAAAAGCAACTATAGCATATTTTCAGTGAGCATATATCTTATAATTGAAATGTAAAGTAATTTTACAAGTATCATTTAAATGTTTGGACATGCTTGCTGTGTCAGACTTCCATTTCTGTATTGCATATACCCCTTTCTATTCATTGGATTTCAGTTCTTTCAATCATGGAGGCTGAGCAATACATGTAAATGTCAGTCTGAATGCAAATGTAGTCTGCATAGAAACACCCATTTTTCCAGAATGACAACCAACCGCCTATCAAGGCATATTGATATTTGCATAGCTACCGCACAGAACCAGCCCACTGCTTGAATCAGGGTTAAGGACACTTGAGACGGGTACTGATTCAGGGTGCCGTGATGTTTTTAGGAAGCTAAATACAACCCTGCTACCCTCTCCCACCACTCATGATCTACCTGCATCGTATAGAAAAGCAGACAGATCCATTAATGGTGTAACTGGTTCTAAAATAGGGTACGTAATAAAAATGAAAGCTTTTAGTTCAAATGTTCTTTTTCAACAATGTTTCTCACAATTTTTGGACAAAAAAAGTAAATTTTTGATAATATAATAATTTAGAAATGGTGTCATTATTACATCATTTAGGGTGTATACAGTAGGTACACTTCACATATTCTTTAAGCCATATAGTGACATAAAACAAATTTGATCGATGTAGTTGGCATTTTGCTTTAACAGAACCACTGTATATTTTCGAAATTTTGTTTTAGAATAAGTTCAATAATGGATAGTTACACTTAAGACTTCACTAGAGTGGACTGGAAGTAATTTGGGAAGAGTATGTAACAGTGGTTAAAAATGACAGAAGAAAGGGGACATTGGGAACTGGGTGGTTTGGTTAAAAAGTGGAGAATAAGAGGTGGAAGAAGGAAAAAGTTGCAGGCTCAAGGAAGTGATAAAAAATGATAGAAGAAACATATTGATTTTTATGGGGAGGGGGGGGACAAGGGAAGGCAAAATATAAGCCGATTAAAAAGAAGTGGGGGTTGAATAAAACATACTCTCCCTTCTGCTTAGAGCTGGCATGGGACATTGCAGCTGTAGCACTCTGGCTCTAAGACCAAGAGCTGAGTGATTATGTAATTGCTGATCAATCAGCTCTTGTTCTCTTCTCCGTGCAGAGAGCGGTGACAGTCACTGCTCCCTGCATGGATCCCCCCCCCCCACTGTGCTTTCAACGCTGACTCAAGTTACAAACACAGGAGGCTGGCTCGGTTTTAGTCAGCCAGGGTGGATCCTAACAATGTTGTGGGTATCCATCTAGGCTAAAGTGACACTAAACTCAGCACTTAAATCTTAAAAATGCATTCAAGTACCATATTAACAAAAATGGAGCTTATGTGTTTATCACTCAGCAGTAGATCCTCAAATCATCTCTTAATCGGTGCTGGCACTGTCCTTCCTTTTGGAGGGTTGCTACTTTTATTTTGCTTGGTCCGTGTGTGTGTTTTAAAAAATAGCCACCGCTCCACGCTTGCTCCAATGCCTCCAGAAAAGCACCCTCCCAATGCTGAGGGCATGTGCGGGGAAAGGGGGGGGGGGGTCACTCACTCGTTCCCTCCTTTCCTGCCCTGCAATGCCACTGTTCAGATTAAGGGTCTGGTATGATTTGGGGAGGGGACCCCGCGCTGTTTTAGCCAACAGAATGACCGAGCCGAATGCTGAGCCGAGCATTGGGCTCTTCACTCTCTGCTGTTTGGTCCCTTGGAACATAGGGGTAAACAGCAGAGAAGGGACTGCTGAACGTTCGCCTCAGCCGATCCAGATGTTGCTTCGGCTGAGGTAAAAGGACTGAGGCTGCTCGGCCGAGCCGAAGTGAGGTGAAGCGAGCCGAATGCAGCCTATGTATGGCTCAAAATAGCAGGGCTGCAGTGAATAGCTGAAGAGGCTTTGGCTGCCTGAACTTTGGCTCGTCTATTTATTCGGCTGCCTTCGGCAGTTTAGTGAATAACCCTCTTAACTTCTGAGTTTAGTTTCACGTTAAAGTCCAACTCTGACCACCATATCTTTCATAGCTTTAGAGGGCTTAATAGCTGTTCATTTCTGCCGTTTATTAATTTAATGTCTGCTTTCTTCAAAAAGCTTTAAAATAGTGCTTTTAGTTTTACCAGATAATAAACTACAGGTATGATAATCTTCAGCAATGGAGTCCTGTCTCCATCCCTGTCTATTCTTGGCCTTTCATATAGTGCAGACTCTAATGATGCTGCGCCCATACTTTTCTAAATAGCTAAAAGCAGACAGGGGTAGAGACATGACACCAGTGATGATGTCTAGCATACATACAGAGCTGCTGTAGGAGGGGTGTAATCACAGCAGGAGCTGCCCTACCTGCAAAACCAAAAGCATTATTTCTATACTGTTTAAATAAACTTTATTTATTGCGGCAATAATCTTCCCATTAGATTTTATGTGAATTTAAATTTGCCTACCCCTGCTCTATAGTATTCCCCTTCACTCCTGCCCTAGCGGCTACAGATAGGGCTATGCAAAAAGTGAGGGGTGGAGATGCTGGGACAGCATAGGGAGTAATTGAATTTTCTCTGTACTTTTGCCTACAATTTTTTTAAATTATGTCAGGGTCTCTTTCAGTAGATGTTGCACTCAGTAGATTTAAATTTGCCCCTCTAATTTATTGTTTATTCTGTCACAACTGTCCTCCTTAATACACAGTTAATGCACTATATTGTACTTTGCATTGTTTCCTACTCTCCATAGAGGTGCAGTTCCAAACAGCATGGAGATTTTTAACAAAATGTGTGATAAAGACCACCCTGATTGTCAGAAGGACTTGTTATAGCCCAGGAGGAGGTCAGAAACAAACCAAATGTCGCAAATGATCCTTGAAATCTGAATCATCATTTGTTATTATCAGGCCATACATGACCACCCATGTAGGAAGGCACAGTCACTGTGCAAAGCCATAAATGAATGTAGCAAGCCCCATGTACAAATTGACACATTTCTTTATAGATACAAATTTGAAAAACATTTTGTCTCTAACATATATATTGCTCAGATTATTTACACCAAGCTGATAGCTTTCATTTGAGTATCTTAAAAAAAATGAAATACTGTATTTTTCATTGACTTTTAAATTAGCCTTCTATTTTACATAGGTGTAATATTATATATACTGTATAAAGCATTCATGTAATGCTATAATTATGTGCAAGATATTTGTATTTTTTGCAAAGCATGTTATTCTGCATACATTCCCTTAATTGGTTTTAAACTGAGCATATTAACAATGGAGTTAATGTAAAAAAAGCAAACAAACATTAAAGCTGTTGAAGTATCACAAATAGTGAATTTATCGCTTTGAAATACATTTTGTCATAGGGTTATACCACCACCTACTGGTTTACATGATGAGATGCATTTTTATGATTGATAAATTATGTACTAGTAAGGTCTTAGCTAAGGAAAAGCAATACTTTTAATCACCACGTGACAAAACTAACTGTGGCTGACAAATGCCTCCCTGAAATTCAACTGGTTGAAAAAATTAAATTTCACAAGAGGTTAATACATGCCCCTGCGAAAGCTGAACTATAGGCACAAAAACATTCAGTTACATATAATCCATAATAGCCACAAACAATACCTTGTATAAATCTGCTTTGTGTGCACCGAATGTCTTTGCAAAATCAATTAACCCCTTCGTGACTGACGACGTACAGTGTACGTCGCCAGCATCGGGGCTGTTTAAACAGACTCCCGGCGACTTTTGCCGCCGGGACTCTGTTTAAACTTGTAGAGCCGACTGTCGGCTTTACAACAGAAGCGATCCTGGCGACTTACCTGTCGCCAGATCGCTTCTGCGTCCCGAAGAAGGGGCCGCCCCCCCCACGCCGGACACCCCCGCCGTGCTTCCCGGGCTCCGTTGCCCCTCCTACGGGCCC